GGCATCTTCCCTCCCCGCCACAGCCCAGGGCCTCGGGGCCCAGGAGGGCTGCCGAGGGGGAAGCGGAGGCTGACGCGGGTTCGTGCCGCGCCGCAGCCTCGGCCAAGAGACCGCCGGCGCCACGTCACGGGCCAAAATCCAGGTAATTCTTGAGAGTAAATTTTCATTTCCTTTTTTTTCTGTTTGAATTAGTAACATCAGATATTTGAGTCATGTGTAAATTAAATTTGAAATACCACTGAGCTTTAAGGAAAACTTTTATTGACACTGTATCCAAGCTATATCCTCTGTCACCTGTCACCCACCCTACTCTCATCTTTAATATCCCTCTTAAAGTTGCCTGCCACTTCCCATAGCCCATCTGCTATTTATCTAATCAGCTGTTGAAAATTATGTGAACTGTCCCACTCCACCAGATATCTGTCCCACCCCAAAAGGTGAATACCTTGTATCTGGGTTATCACAGGGGGATACAGAATTCCATTTGCTTTATAATCTAGTTTTAAATAACCCTTTATATTTGAACTTTCAGATTATACCTATTCTTGTAATTATTTCTACATATGTAAATTAATTCTTATCTTAATTTATCCAGAAGTTAGGAGTCCTTCATACTAACTATCCTGCCCTACAATATGCAGAAAAAAATATTCATATCATTCATGTTAAGAAACAAGATTCTCAGACACATGTGACATAGATAATAGATTGTTTTTAAAAAAGCATTTTTGAGAAATTCTGATTTTGTCTATGTGAATTCTATGTTACTACTAATATTTTGCTATAAAAATAAGAATCCCAATATTATTTTATTATTTTTAGATGGAAATACCAATATTCCTCATTGTAATATATTAAAAAGATATAGCATGCTATTTAAAAGGTATAGCAATGATTGGAACTATAATATTCTGGTATCCAAAGCATATATAAAATAGTTAAAAAATGATTCTGGGAATTGAATACAGGGGCACTTAACCACTGAGCCACATCCTCAGACTTTGTTATTTTTTACTTAGAGACAAGATCTTGGTAAGTTGTTTAGCACGTCACTTTTGCTGAGGCTGGCTTTGAACTCACAATCCTCCTGCCTCAGGTTCCTGAGTCACTTGGATTGCAGGTGTGCATCCCTATACTTGGACAGCTTAACTTTTTAATTTAATATGATCTATAGGCTGGGGTGGTGGCATATGCCTGTAATTCCAGTAACGCATCAGGCTCGGGCAGGAGGATCACGGTTGAAAGGCAGCCACAACAAATTAGTGAGGTTCAAAGCAACTCAATGAGATCCTGTCTCTAAAGAAAATATTTTTAAAAAGGTCTGGGGATGTTGCTCAGTTATTAAGGACCTATGTAATCTATAGATTTTTATAGCAGCTTATAGATTTTGCAAAGAAAATTGATAATTAAATTTGTTATCCTGTGTCATTTTCTGCTAGTATTATTATTAAATTATATCTAGAGTATAAAGATAGTCATAATTTTACTTTATGGAACTTGTAAGTTCTTTTCAAACTTTATACATTGCTACAGTTTGAACATCAATTATTAAAATGTTTCTTATATTCTATGTACCCATATAGACATACTGTATAAATATTTAATTAGTTATTATAGTCACCAACTTATTTGTCAAGGTATTAGGATCTCTCCATTTCAATTTGTTTTCAGTAAGTTTCTTGAGGTATAACTCAAATAATGTGCCTATTATTACATACAAATTAACAAATATAAGCATATATAAAACATGTAAAAGTATAATCACATAATCCTCCAAGTACTTTTTGTTAATTCTTCTAGTCCATTCTCCCTGCTCTTCTTGGCCTCTTGAGCTGTCCCCTGGACAGGTCCACATCACAGTTGTGCTAGAGTAGTGGGACAGGTTGCTGAGAAACTGAAGAAAATGTAAGACATGTGTCTATTGAAATGTACTCATGAGGATGTTCAAGGGTGAAGGGCTGGATAAGCAGTGCCTCCCTCCCTCAGGGCACTTCACCTGCAAGTCCACTGATGGGCACCTCATGAGCAGAATTTACCCTTTACACTAGAAAAAACAAAAAAAAAAAACGACGTATTTTATAGGTCAGTGCATTAGTCAGTGTTCTCTAGAGGAACAGAATCAATAGGAAGTATACTTATAAAAGAGGGGCTTATTAGGTTGGCTCATGCAACCAGAAACTGAGTAGTCCACAATGTCTGTCTGCATGCTGGAGAGCTGGAGGAACTAATACCTGTGCAGTCTAAGAAGCTGAAGCCACAGAACAAGAGGGATCAAAAGTGCTATCCTAATCTGAGACTGGAGGCTTCTGGAGAATTTGCTTTGGAAGAGTGAAGAAGGGAGAGTTTCATATCCTCTGATGATAACAGGAGCATTAAGAACCCACTCAAGAAGAATTGAGCTTGTATCTGCTACTTGTGCTGGGATCAGTTGGCCTGTTCCACTGGGACCAGTAATTCTGGGAACAGTAATTCTGGTCATATGTACAAGAAAGTAATTTCTGCAGGTAACACAAGTTTTCTCTGCCTTCTGGTAGGCATGAGAGCAAGCTAGTGTCTTTCAAGATGATATTGATCTGGATATTTCACAACAGGTTCATTTTCATCATTCCCTTGGCTTGGGGATGTCATTTTTTGGGAATATGGTGTTTTAATGTCTTTCCAATTTTTTCAAGATTGCCATCCAACAAAATACAGTGGTGTGCTTATTCTTCACAGTCTGCTACTGGGTGAGAACAGTTCTTATGGGTATGATTAGAATTAGAAGATTGCATTTTTGTCATAGAGTGATAGTGTTTTAAACCTTTGATCCACTTGTCAGCTACTTATATAAAAATACATGCATAAAAGAAATATGAGAAATAAATTTCAGCGACTTAACAGAAAGTGAAAATATTTACTTATATTAAAAGAAAAAGCCACTACTGAATAATTAAGCATTTGCCATCCTTACCCCACAGGGATGTTAAGAACCTCATCATTTGTTTCTTGGTGCTGATTAACACCAAAGGACTCAGGGTGGCATAGCCGTTGCCCACCAGCATCTGGACATAATAACGAACTGGATCATTGTTCCATGGCATTGCAGAAGAGGAGGAGACAGCAAAGTCCCAAAAGTACATGACCACAAAGAGACCCATGAGCAGCAGGATGGTCCTGGAGGCCCTCTGTTCTGGGGATGCTTTTGGAGACAGGCTGGTATTGTGAAGGTGCTGGCACTGCCTCTTATGCCTGCACAAGAGGGTCACCATGTACCCMCTGGAGAGGGCCATGAGTCCTATAAGGAAGACATCCTGGAARGTCACAAGGGAGAAATACATATACCTGAACAAGTAATTTGTAGACAAAAGAGAGCAGGMCTTAGTAACAAACATGAGACTGTGTGTGGTGACATTGGGAGTGGCAACAATAGAGATCAAGAAGCGACCACTGATGAGCATATTRAAGACCCACAAGAAGGAAAAGCAGCAGAGGCTCTGAGGTGAGGAGTTACACTTGAACTTTGTCAAGCAGCAGCTTCTGGGGCTGAGGGTGACAGCCTGGAGGACACTCAGCAGGCAGGTGGTACAAAAGGACAGGCCCCCCATCAGCCTGTACAAGTAAATAACTGACTTACATATTATGTCATSCCTTAAACCCTGAGACCCCAAAGTGTCTGCAGTTATRAACCCCACAGTCAGCAGCATCACTAGGTGGACAAGAGCTAAGTGACCAATGGTCAGGTCAGTGGGCTTGGGCCTGTGCTTGAGAGGAAATGTGGGGATGTGGGAGAGAAGCAGAGCAGTGTTGGCTATGATCCCAACACTGATTTCACAGAAAAACATGGTGCTCAGGTGAGGAAAGCTGGGAGCTTCACTGTTCCTATTCATCCTCGTGAAGAAGCAGCATTTGGTGAGAATCTGAGAGAAAATTTTTACCATGAGTATCACCATCCTCATCAATCCTTCCTACACTATGGTCATCAGCAAAATGTGTGGGTTCATCCTGAGGCGTTCTTTCTCCCTGCAGAGCCCAAGTCAATCCCACATCCTCCTGAGGCTTCAGAGCTCTCTCTCCCCTGCCCTCCAGGACAGACTCACAGCTGGATGGACACACACACTGCCGGACCCCACAGCATCTCCACACCACCATGTTAGACTTTTCAAATGTAAGCAGAATGCCTCTTCCTCTCTACAAAACTGATAAAGTCCTCAGTTCAAAGTAATAGCTCTAAATATAGGATTGAATTTGAGTTAAAAAATTGTATCAGCCTGGGGGCTGGGGATGTGGCTCAAGCGGTAGCATGCTCGCCTGGCATGCATGCTGCCAGGGTTCGATCCTCAGCACCACATACAAACAAAGAAGTTGTGTCCGCTGAAAACTAATAAATAAATAAATAAATAAATATTAAAATTCTCTCTATCTCTCTCTCTCTCAAAAAAAATTGTATCAGCGTGGAAATAAGATCCTAATGGGCAATGGCTGCCAAGAGGGTAGCCATGCAAACGCCTGTATCATTTGAGGGTCTTCTTTGTTCTGGTTAATGACTAGAATATTATTTATTGGTAGAGCACAAATGTGTCTAAGGAGTGTCTGAAGTCACAAACAGCGACTTTACATAAACCATCTGATGCTATTAAATTCAGGACTAGAGAGGTCAACTAACACAACTGGACCATTAATATTATTTGAAAAAAATGGGTAATCACAACAATTGCTTCTTGTAGCTATTGTCTGTGTGATTATATCAAATATCCAATAATGCCCAGGATACTAATACCACCCATTATTGGTATTATCAGATAGTCCTCCATATATGACTTGAGAGTTTTAAAATATTTCCAGCTCTGTTATAGCTTGAAAAATCAAAGAAAAATTAATATGAAAGTAGCATACTTTTAATAATCCCTAAATGTTGGACACATGCAAATTTAAAACTCATTTCTTGGAATCATTAGAGGTAACTCTAAGTCTTAAATATTTTAGAAACTCAAAACAGAAAAACCTAGTCATATCAGAATGCGGTTATCAATTATTATCAGAAACACAGTGTAAGCTTTTTTTCAGCAGGTCAGAGCCATATGAAATCATAGTGATAAACACAGACATATTTTAATGGACTGGGATGATTCTTTTCTAAGGATTTAGTTAGTGGTTTCCCATGGGAGCCCAAGCTTTCAAGTCTTCCAAGAGCAAGAAACAATGTCTCTGCAGAGTTATGAAAATCTAGTGTAAAAGTTATACTAGTCTTTCAGTGAGCTTTGTTCTACTGTGACTAAAAGACCTGCCAAGAACWATTTTAGAGAAGAAGATTCTTTGGGGGCTAATGGGGTTGGGGGGGGGGGTTAGAGGTCTCAGTTCACAGATGGGCAGCTCCATTCTTCAAAGCCTGAGATGAAACAGGAGATTATGGTGGAAGACTGTGGCAGAGAGAAGTGGCTCACAAAATTATCAGGAAGCAAAGAGAGGCTCCATTTGCCAGATATAAAATATATACCCTCAATCATGACCCATTTCCTCCTGCCACACCTCACCAACCTCAGTTTATACTCAACTAATCCATAAAGGGATTCAAAGTGAATGCACTGATTGGATTTAGGCTCTCATAACCCAATTACTTTTTATCTAAATCTTCTTGCCTTGCATCACACATGAGCTTTTGGAGGACACCTCAAATCCAAACCACACACTACAGAACTTGGGGGTGCCCACCATGTTGAATAATGTTCTGCACCATGCAGCTGTTTGCTTTAACTGAAGCCTTTATTCATCCATAAGATGAGGGAGAGAACATGGGAAAATAGGTTCCTGTCATGTATTAGCACAGATTTATTTTCTGAAACTAAACCTGTGAGTATACACTGTTTTCACAGCCACACAGAGATGCAGTTCTTCAATTACTGAGGGACAGCTGCACTGTTCAGGTGCCACAAATGTGGCTGCAAGTAAAACTTCAGAGGTGGGTAGACTCTAGGTCTCAACAATTCAAAAATTTTGACGTTAAAATAGATATTTCATAAAAACAATTAGAAAAAGTTTGGTTTCTAACATATTAATCAAGTAAATTTATCTATTTACACACTCAGATAATTAAGCTTCATACCTCAGATATGCCAAGTAGAGACATCAAAAATACTCATGGTATCATCCCATTCTGAGTTTTACAAGTCACAGGCTGTCATGAAGTCATTGACTGTCTTTAAGCACACAGCACCAAATGGTCTTCTTAACCTTTCATTTATTTGTAAACAATATACACCCATTCTCTACACATCTATTGCATTTAAGTTACAAAATATATCCAGATAATATTTCAAAGGAGTAGGATCAATGAATGAGCAAAACCTTTCACATCATATCCTAAAAGAATAATATGAGATGAATCCTGCTGTCAACTTGAATTCTCAAGTTATTCCCAKGAAATTCAGGCTTCCCTTGAAAACTCTTTTGAAAAATTGAGTCTTAAAACTACATAACCTTATAAACAGGTAGTAGCCTATTTGAAAAATCTGTAATTTGAGGAGATAGGACTACATAATTCTCAGATTTACTGAGGTACTGGAGTCCTACAAACATAAATGGATGAGCACAGACAGATGGACGCAGATGCTGCAAAACTGTCATGAGGTAAGGGGGTCACTACCTGAAACCAGCAAATCTTCCTTGAGGCAGAAAAGACTATCTCCTTTCACCATGCCATGAATCCAGGAAAGTGACCCCATCAGGTGCATCCACCAGCCACCCCTGATGTTAGCTTGCATGGAGCCCCCCAAAAGACTATGTAAACTATCACCAAGCATCAGTTCTCTCCAAATTTATATACCACACCTATATTAGTGAAGCCCATGCTCCAGGAATCATTGTTATATCTGTATGTAATTACTGAAAGATAGGTAGATAGATATTTTGAACATTGTATTAGACAAACTTTTTTCTGTAGAAAATCAATATGTTATGACAACAAGCTAAAAGAAATCTGCCATGTCTTTTCCTACCCATGCCTCATCCCACTCACATTGGGGGAGACTGCACAGTTCAGGGGGTCAGGGGACAGGACAGATGCTCTCCACACAGAGAAGGATAATATAGAGGTTCTTACAAATGACAATTCCAAAATGGAGCTGACACACCTAATGATCCAAGTACAATAATGTTGTCTTGCACATGGGAGAAATCCAGTTGCTTTCAGACAGACTGGAGGAAGATCAATAAGGAGATAAATCACAGGGAAAGTAACATGGAGAAAAATCTCTAAAATAGTTCACAGTTGTAAGCCCACAACAAAAAAGAAAAAGGAAAAGCCATATGAGCAGTGATGTGAAAAAACAATATGTGAATGGAATAACAAAATTCAGAGAAAAGTCTGCACATATGCTGTCTATTCTCAGGTTGAAGGACCTTGTCATTCATGGTGAAAGCTGGCCAACCTATGGGAGAGAGAGAACACCATTCACATTCCTACTAATACCTGAATCCTTAAAGCATTCACTTCAGACATAGTTTTATTTTGCAATTACTAAGACCAGAGGCAATCTTGAGCTCTATGCTGTCATCAAATTGACCATAGATAAGTGAAAAATGGTCATGTTGGTGCTCCTGAGCCAGCACTCAGGAGAAATTGGGAGTACAATGGAAGAAAGAAAGTCCTCAGCAAATCCCCCTGTGAGTGTGGGTATGTATGGTTATGTCAGTGACCTGATGACAGGGTAAGGAAAGGAAGGGAGGAAGGAATTGTATTTTTGTCCATGACATGAGTGTAATCTGCATATTTCTCAAGATGAATGTGAGGCATGATGATTTATGACTGGCCTTTAGCCAGGTGACTTAGGTACCTGAAAGAGCACAGCTTGGCTTGATATCACTACACCATAGTAGCTGACTTCACCATGATTGCCATTAATATTGTTCTTTTTTATAAACAAAGGTAAAAATAGGGGAAAATTTCCAGGAAATGAGAGTGACCATGCACACTGGAGTGAGTTATATCTGGAGTTACACTGGTCAACAACCCCAACTTTTGGCAGAATTTGAGTTGGAAAAGAACAAAGGGAACCGGGGGAGACTGATGAAACCAGGGGAAAGCAGAATCATCACCAACTCAACAGCTGGTGCTAAGGATGACACAGCCACAAGGTACCCACCAAAAAACTCCTTACCATAATTGAGCTTTCCAAAGTCCCCATCACAATTATAACCTATAAGCTTCTCTCCTAGTCAACAAGAGCTTTACAAATACTGTCAGCAGGATCTCTGTGGAGAGCTTATTGTGGGTCAAAGATTCCTTGGTTGTAAAGGGCAAGTTTCTCCTTGTAATAAGTAGGTCTGTAATCAAGCTTCTTATTGTGCAAAGGTTACTATTTTTGTTTTTCTTGGGAAAAAGTTGTGAAACATCTGTCTGACCTAAAAAATGAGACAAAGAGTTACTTTTTATTGAAGTTAACTTTATTTCATTTATGTATTTTTGTGTGGTGCTCAGGATCAAAACCAGTATCTCACATGTGCTAGGCAACTGCTCTATCACTGAGCTACAAGTCCAGCCCTTGAAAGTAACAGTTAGGTACCCACCCATTGTCATGACTAAAGAAAATTCTAAAGAATTTTCACATCATGTGTCCAGAGATTTTTAGCATTAGCTCCTCTGAACCACTGCAGCTTAACTAAAATTGCTTCCTAAAATTCCTCAGATGTCCAGACTCATCTGTTCTACATCAAGCACACAGCATTTGTGAAATTCATGAGGTCAGGGAGGATGAACTAGAAAATCTGAGGACTACGTGAAGGCAAGAATGGCATCCATTTGCCCCAAAACTCCCTCCCCATACACGCACACATAAAAGTACGAATTATATATTCTGTGTTGTAAATTAAAATATTTTTAAAGTATAGTTTA